AATTGCCACCTACTGGCTGCCTTTCAGGAAGCCTGAGCTGGTGGGAAGTGCTGCAAACGATTTGTCGTCTCACTGTACTCATGCTCTTTCCATCATGATTGAAGGATACTGGGCTTGATGGGAGAAACTCAACCTGGGGCTTGTGTCTCAGTCCCTTTCCAGTGCTCTCACCAGCAGTGGTAGTTACTTTGCTGCCTTCAGCAATGAGGAACAGCTCAGACTTGTTTTATTCATCAGCCATTTTGCAATATGCACAAAAAGAAGAGTAGCCAGCAGAGCACGGACATATTTTCTTCTCGGTTCACAAGCATCTTTGCCTGTGCCACTTTGATGCTTTGTGCCAAAGGTTTATTGTTGGTTTTAGGCCATCCAGATAAAAACAGATAAGGATTATTTTTACATTGATTATTTTTTTTCCTGGAAAGAATATACGCAGCAGTGGGGGTACTTTCGCAGCTGGTCCCACCAGGAGAGAAAGGTGAGAAGGAGATTTGGCTCCTTTGAAGTCATGGAGTGAAAGCAGACGTCATCTCATGCCCCTTGGTTAGCCTGAGATGGAGCCCCATTGACTCGCTTGCTCTAGACACTAACTTTTAGGCAGCTGAAGTAGGGGAAGGAGATCCATATTCTTTGCCTTGAGCCTGGGATGTGGCCAAGCCTCCTAACCTCAGAGCTGCATCTGAGCAAGATGACAAAGGTCCTGAGTCCTTTTGTGAGAGGTATCAGAGAAATAGCTCCTGGAAAGGCAGAAATGAAAGAGCAAGACACTACAAAGGGGTTTGTTGCCCAAGGCCCAGGGCAGCTTTGCTCGTTTGAGTGCCACAGAGAGCATGGGATGGATCAAAGGCCATTTCCAAAATCTCAGAAATAGCTGAGAAGGGGTATGTCAGGACTTTGTGGGCCATGTCCATGTGCACAGGACTAGGTTTGAACTGCAGCATGGAGAGGTTTGGTTAGGCAGAGATGGTAGAAGAACCTATTGCAGAGGTAGGCTTAGCAGCTCTGTTGTGAATTTATAAAAACATGTTAGACAGACATCTGTCAGGAAGGGTTTGGATCCAGCTGGTCCTGCTTTGAGATATGGCAATTGTCTTCAGGTTTCTTTCATCTCTAGTTTCTCATAATTTGTGCAATGCAATAGTTATGTACGGATATGAACTGGCTCTGGCGATATTTTTGCAAATATGAGCTTGACTTGAAACTCTGAATCTTAACTGAGGAGCATCCAAAATACGAATTAAGGCTTGAATCCATGCTGTGCATGAGCAGGGCTGAGTATGAGCTGATTTAGATAGTTTGAGACCTTTGTTCCAATTTTGCTCCAGGCTCTACCCTGCAAGCATCTTTGACTTGAACATCATCTTTCATCCAGCTTTTGAAAAGCCTTGATTTTTCTGGCCTCCACACTCCATTCAAGCTGTGAAAGCCTCTCAGCTCCATCTCATTGTCCCCATAAACCTTCATGTGCTTCTCCTCCAGACATACACTGGTTCAATACTGGTGGCAGTAAACCCCTACCAGCTCCTACCCATCTACTCACCCGAGCAGATACGCCTGTACACCAACAAAAAGATTGGTGAGATGCCACCACACATCTTCGCAATTGCTGACAACTGCTACTTCAACATGCAGCGCAACAACAAAGACCAGTGCTGTATCATAAGGTGAGTTGGTGAGTTTCCAAATGGGTCATATCTGGAAAATGGATGCTGATCAGATAAAAATCAGAAATTTGAATGACCTATTAGATCTCCCATCCGCATATTCCCAGTGCAGAGCTGATCTCTGTTTGCAGTTACTGTTCCTACTAAAGATGCTTTATCAATCCTTTTGTACTTACCCTACAACCCAGTAGATCTCATATTCATCTTTAACCTCCCCTTGTAAATTTAAACTCGGTACTCCTAGATATCAAAGATGCAAAGATCTATACATTCTGCACAATGAAGGGCCAAGGACAAGCTTGATCAGCGGACCTGTGGTTATTCACACTGCTGAACTAGTGTCTCCCTGGCATGGCTCTGCTCTGGACTGATCAACCTTGGGCACCAAGAAATGTCTGGTCGCAGTTATGGGTATAGTTCCCTCCAGTGTCTGTCCCAAATGCTGGTATGAACCAGATTTGGTTCCCTCAGCCCTCCAACACTATCCCATCAAGTTTTGAACTCTCAGACAGCCTTTGTGCTTTCAGGGCACCACCTCTCTCCAAGGCATGCCTACCCTAAGCTTCATTACATAAAAACATAACTCTGGAGCATGCTGTGCACAGTATTTCAGATACATGGGACTGAAAAGGCCATGTAGTAGGGCCCGTAGTAGTTTTGCAGGGCTAAAAAAGCATCATATGGGGCCCAGAGGAAAGTCAAGGCCGGGCATGATGCAGTGTGCCAGTGGCCAGCCAACCCTGAGAAGTGAAGCAATTCAGCCGTGAGCCCAGGGCTGGCTCCTGAACACCAGGAAGGTCCATTTCAATCACTTATATTGGCTACCCTGTACATCAGACAGGCCACAGACTCACATCAAGGCATTTCTGCCCAGCCCTTCCTCTTGCACCATTGCAAGGCAACAGAAGTTATCTTTCAGTGGGGAGAAAGCTTCGAGGAGTAACTCTTGCTTCCTGCCCCGTGATCTTCTCCTCTCCTACCTGCCCCTTAGTAGGACAAGCCTAGGAGATCTGTGAAAATGCCTGCCAATACAAGACAGTCTGTGTTCTAGTGCAGTTTGGCAGCTCAAACTGGTGATGAAGATGCCCCATGGGACCAGCTAGCCCCTGGACCACAGGCTTATGGTCTGATGATCGTACGTGGAAAAGCACTGTCTGAAAATGCTTCATGACCTTCATAGTGCTGATCGAATAATGGTATTTGCTGGAGAGGTCAAAACCCAAGCAAACAGCTTGGGCCAAATGGACTGTAAAGTAAATCTGGATCTTGGCTGGAAGCTGCCTGGTACTGTGTCCTGCCACCAGTCCTTGGGATGCTGGAAACCCATCCTTAGTGGCCTCATCCTGCCTGTGCTAACAGAAGAGGCACAGAGACAGCAGTCCGTTTAGAGACAGAGAGAGGGACATGGACAGGGATGCAGCAGGGCTCTCACTGACCTCAATTCCTATTGTTTTTGCAGCGGTGAATCTGGAGCAGGGAAGACAGAAAGCACAAAACTGATTCTGCAGTTCCTGGCGGCGATCAGCGGCCAGCACTCCTGGATTGAGCAACAGGTCCTGGAGGCAAATCCCATTTTAGAAGGTGAGGCCTCAGATAATGAAGGCTTTTTTTTTTTTTTTCCAGGAAAAAAAAAAAAAAATCAGAGCCAGAAAACACTTAATATGCCCGTATGTAAGTCACTCTGTATTTTGGGTTTCAAAAAGTGAAAAATTAAAAAAAAAAACCCAAAAAACCACAACAAAAGCAATGATGTAAACATTTGTTAAACTGCCTATTCAGTTTCTTTCCATCTGAATTTACTTTTCACAAGACGAATATTCTCTGATTTGGGGTCTCAAATGTTCCATTAGTATTTTTGACAACTACTGTTGAAAGCAAAATATTTCAGCTGATCGGGAAAGTTTTTAAATTTTTTATTCACTTAAAATTGAAAAATGTGTTTTTTCCACTTAAATCAGTACTTTTTTCCCAAAAATTTCAAAACATAAACCTGAATTTTACGTAATTCGCTGTGTAGCCTGGGATTTCAAAAATGCTGATCATGAATACACAAAGCTCTTCTGAAAAATCTCATTATAATTGTATGCAGAGCATGAATATCCTGTAAATAATGCATTCAACTAGTTAATTTTTTTGTTTTATTTGACCATAACTGCAAAAATCCTATTCCTATTCTTCACT